CAGGCTCACACCTGGCTGGGCTTGGGTGTTGGGTGAAAGTCATGAACGTGCCTCCTGAAGGCTGGCAGCATTCGGCTCCTTGACCTGGTGACGGCCTGAGAACTCGACATAAATAGACATACACTGTGTGCGTTCTTTTGTGGCTTGCTTCTTCACAAATTGACCTAATGGACGCATTGTTTTTGCCCATTTTTGTTTTTGCCCATTTTTGACCTTCATATAAATGGAATTAAAACAAATAAATATAATACATGGAACCATACTGCATGAACTTCTTTGTGTTATTATGTTACTGAAATTTACCCATGTTCATTCCAATTGGTAAAGAGTATCCCAGTGTGTGAACACATCACACTTTATTTGTCTATTACAAATAGACATTGGAGTTGTTTCCAATTTGGGGATGTTATGAAAAGTACTGTTAATTGAGAAGCTACCTGTCAGTCTAACTGCCCCTCCTTTCAAAGAAATCTCTTTTTTCTGGCTGCTCTTAAGATTTTTCTCTTTGTCACGGGTTTCCTGCAACTTCACTCTGCAGTGTGGATTTCTATTTTATTTATCTTGGGATTCTTTGAGTTTTGAAAAGTCTGTAAAGAGGTGTCTCTCATCTCTTCCCACGCTGTCCTCCAGGAGGCTTAACTTCCCTCTTCCTTATTTTTTGTCTCTCTGAACAATATTCTGGATGATTTCTTCTGGCTCTTTTCCAGTGCATGTATTTCTCTTCTCTGCTGGTCTAACTACTATTAAATCTATCCCTCTCGTTTTTAATTATGGTTATTAAATTTTTCATTTCTAGAAATTTTGTTTGGGTCTTTTAGGCCACGTTTTATAGTTTCTTCTTCTTGCAAATATTTTCAAGTTTGTCTACTTCTTTAAATACAGTAGGCATAATTGTATTAAAACCTGTCTCTGATATTTCCATTGTCTAAATTCTTTGCAGATCTGGTCCTGTGCCTGCTGTTTCTTAAGGTGCTTTGCTTCTTTATGTGAATATTTTCACACAGCAAAACTGCTTTTAAAAAATTGGACAGTAGGGCTTCCCTGGTGGCGCAGTGGTTAAGAATCCGCCTGCTAATGCAGCCCTGGTCTAGGAAGATCCCACATGCCGCAGAGCAACTAAGCCCGTGCGCCACAACTACTGAGTCTGTGTGCCACAACCACTGAAGCCCGCATGCTCTAGGGCCCGCATGCTGCAACTACTGAGCCCATGTAGTGCAACTACTGAAGCCCATGTGCCTAGAGCTCATGTTCCGCAACAAGAGAAGCCACAGCGATGAGAAGCCCCGAGCACCACAATGAAGAGTAGCCCCCGCTCGTCACAACTAGAGAAAGCCCACGCGCAGCAACGAAGACCCAATGCAGCCAAAAATAAATAAACTAAATAAAATTTAAAAATTGGACAATAATAATCCAATATTGACCAATGTAGCTTCAAATTCTATTAAAGCTTTACAAGGGGAAAGATGGGATAGCACTTACTGAAGTAGAATTACTATCAAAACACAAAAAGCACAACATCATCTTTTAACCTCAATTCCATCTTATTTTAGTCAGGTCTGTATTACAGGAATATTTTTTATCACTATCCATGATTTGGATTCTTGTATAGGAGAACAATTTAAATATGGTGTCTGTAAAAATGTCACAGTCTCATAATAAATATGGTAGAGGCCAATCATTACTCATAAGTAGCTTTTTTGAGATGTTATCAAATAGGACCTTTCCCCCTTAGTTTCAGCAGAGATCACTTTTGTTCCATGGTAATACTTCTTGGGATTCTCCACATATTCCCTCAGAGCAGACTCTCCCCAGGTGGCCTTTGCTCTCGTTGGCATCTGTGTAAGAGAATTTGGGGGCCTGACCAAACAGACCTTTCAGGTTTGGCTTGTGCTTCCCACCCTCTGACACTGTGGCACTGGGCACACTTCTCAGTAGAAATCTTCTTGCCCTTCTTGACAGTCCCTGTTTTGAAGTCAGCTCTCTAAGCTCTCTAAGTTACATACGTGCTGGATAGGCTCACCCAGCAGCTGACTGTCTTGCTCTCATTTCTAGAATTTAGTTGCTGTGGTCTAGTGAGTCTCAATCCAGGCTGTGCATGAGAAGCACCTGAGGAGTGATTTAAAGATACCGGTATCTGTGACTCTTTTTTTTTAAATTGAGGTATAGTTGCTGTACAATATTATATCAGTTTCAGGTGTACAACGTAGTAATTCGCAATTTTTTTTTTTTTTGGCGCAGCCGCAAATCTTGTGGGATCTTAGTTCCCTGACCAAGAATTGAACCCATGCCCCCTGCAATGGAAGCGTGGAGTTCCTAACCACTGGACTGCCAGAGAATTTCCAAGTAATTCACAATTGTTAAAGGTTATACTCCATATAGTTATAAAATACTGGCTATATTCCCATATAGCTTATTTATTTTATACGTAGTAGTTTGTACCTCTTAATCCTCTACCCCTGTCTTGCCCCTTCTCCCTTCCTTCTCCCCATTGGTAACCACTAAGTTTGTTCTCTGTATCTGTAAGTTCTTTTTTGTTTTATTCACTCGTTTGTTGTATTTTTTAGATTCCACATTTGTCTTTCTCTGTCTGACTTATTTCACTAAGCATATACTCTCCAAGTCCATCCATGTTGTTGCAAACGGCAAAATTTCATTCTTTTTTATGGCTGAGTAATATTCCATCGTGTGTATGTGTGTGTGTGTGTGTGTGTGTGTATACACACACACCACACAGACATCTGTGACTCTTGATTCAGCGGTGCACAGGGATGCCCTTGTCATGTAACTCTGGAAAAACCCCCAGAAGGTTCTCATGCTTAGCCAAGGTAAGAACCAGAGTAATAGTTCCCTCCCTGGACTAGGGGTTGGGCCCTTTAATCTGCCAGGAGCTAGGAAAGGCAGTGAGTGGAGGTATGGGGTGGGCACTAGAGAGGGCAGGTGAGAAGAGCCAAAGGCAGAGCACAGAAGTCATCATATCTGCACTGGAAAAATACAATCAGATCCGTGGAATCATCTGGCCAGGCGGAAAAGGCTCAGAGACAGAGGGAAAAGCAAAGAGCTTAAAAGTTGTATGCTATTAGCTGTTCCCTAACCCAGTTATGTGATTTTCCATTGCCTGAAAAGTCCTCATTGGGCAGATGTCCTTTTTAATCTTGTTTTCTCTTCCAGCCTACATTTTCTTATCTCTCCCTTATCTTCAACAGCACCACTCCTTACTTTTATAAGACCTCTATTAACAGAACGAACACTGTCTAACCCATATAATCAATCCTCAGAGAAGCAGTAAAGTGTGGCACGCACTGGCAGTTCCTCTGCTGCCTGAGATCACCAGGCAAACATGGAGAAGTGGCGGGGCTGAGTTACTAGAGCTGAGTCAGAGTGGGGAGGTTCAGGGCATGCATCAGAGGCCTTCTGCAGGTAACACTGACTCCTGCTTGTGCTTTCTTGTGGGCCCTTCCCCAGATGGCTCTGGTACTTCTACCTCTGTCCTGTGGCAAACCATCTTTGACAGATGGACTTAGAAGTCTGGTAGTTAAACAAGCTCATAAAGTCATTAAAGGCATTTTTTTTTTAATCTACTGATCAGCTTCTACGTTCATTCAAATACTCGTGAAACCTAATCTAGAAAAATGACCCCCCAAACAAATCCCTCACCTATCTTTATTATAATTTAGCTTATAAGTAACCTGAATGACTACCACTTAATACACACCTTTAAGTGACAGTGACGGGCAGTTCTGCAAAGGGCTTTATGTGGACAGGGCTTTATGCCTTTCTTATCGTGCTCCACTTTATTGCACTTTGCAGATACTAAGTTTTTTAACAAATTGAAGGACTGTGGCAATCTTGTGTTGTCAGATGATTGTCAGCATTTTTTAGCAATAAAGTATTTTTTAATTAAGGCTTGTACATTGTGTTTTAGATATAATGCTTGCATCCTTAATAGACTACAGTATCGTATAAACGTAACTTTTATATGCACTGGGAAACCAAGAAATTCGCACGACTCACTTTATTGCGATATTTGCTTCATTGCAGTGGTCTGGAACAGAACCTGCAATATCTCTGAGGTCTGCCTGTGCTATATACATATATGCATGATATATATATCACATGTTTTGTCTCATGAGAGCCTCACAACCACCCTAAGGGTGGTATTACTATCTCAGTTTTACTGGTGAAGGAGCTGAGCCTCAGGGATGCACAGCGACTGCAGGGAGAGCCCCTGCTGGAGAGGGGCAGGCATGTGGAGTACCAGGGCTGTCTGATGGGCCACGCACACTTCCTTTCACTGTTAGGGGTGGGGAGTGTGGACCCTGAGCCATGGACCCACTTCTGTCGTAACTTTGTTCTTGGGTTCTTCTGAGGTTCCTAAGTACTCAGTGAACACCGTTTCTCTCAGGACATTCCTGTACACAGTTTATGGACACCCTCTTTGTATTCCAAAGTGAAGAGGAAGAGGGTGCATGTGATGGCCCAGATGCTGTCTGAGGGCTGGTGTGTCACATAGGTTGAAGCCAAAGGTGAAGCCCCACCCCGGGCCACAATGACACGGACAAAAAAATCCCACAATACCCGACAACATCTAGGCGCTCTGTTGACTCTGCGTTTGATGCACTGAGCTTGTCTGGCTTCTCAGAAGGCCAAATAATTCAGATGAGACTGAGGCTGATACGGTGAGCCAGATCTGACCACATGAACAAACGAGGTGACTTACAGTTCATGGGAGCTGCAATTCAGCAAATTCAGCTTGGCAGACGTGCCTCTCCCCGAGAGAAGTGCTGCTCACGTGCCCCCCCACCCCCTTCCTGTCACCCCAATGTTTTCCTCACCGACAGGACCTGCCCACATTAGAACACAGCTTCAACAACAAACCAGAGAGCTCATGTTTTTTGTTTTACCGTGAAAAGCTCCTGCCTACTTAAATTGGGTGGCACATGTGCAATGAACTAGCCCAGGGCTTGGAGGATTTTCAGAGAATAGAATGCACTGCTTCTTACCCCTCCTTCCCCCGATTGTGGATGGCTAGTTCTTCGCCAATGCCCTCCTCCTCCTTGAAGCTCTCCCAGTCCAGCTTGGACTTCTCTAGGGTGCTCATCTTCTGCTTCTTGGCTCCTATTTTCCCCAGAAGGCTGCTCATGCCACTTGATCTTTTTAACCTAGGGAAAGCAAAAACATGAAACATGTAGCAGGTAAAAACTCTAATCTCTTGATTAATGGTTTTTCTGATTGGCACGGGCCTCCCTAGATTCAAGCGATTTATCTTAATGGGAGCCATGTTTGCATCCAGGGTACTTCCTGTCGCTGTGGAGAGCACAGTAAGGAGACCAGAATCCTAATGCACTCTTCCTGCTCAATACCTCTGACCACTCTAACGACCTGGGGATAGGAAATCCTGAAGACCTCTGTCTGCTCTGTATGACAGACAGGTCTCTGCTTGCAAGGAGGGAGAAGTGCAGCATGATTCAGACATGGTTTTACAATCACATGCCTTGCTTCATATTCCAGCGCGAACCATGTGACTTTAGGCTAGGTATTTAACTACATCTGCCTCGGTTTCCTAATCTACAAAGTGAATGCTTACTCACAGGGCTGTAGTGTATCCTCTATATAAAGTGCTTAAAACAGCAGCTGGCACACAGCAAAGGGGCAATAAATGTTATCCATCCTGAATCACTGTCATCATCTGTGCACTAAAGCCCCAGGGAATCCTTTCAAGAGAAAGAGAACCAGATCCCAACACTGATGAGCAAGAGTTACAGGATCTTAAAAAGACCCTAAGATCAGTTTCCTTTCAACTCCTGTGAGTCAGGACCCTGGTTTTTCCCAGGAGGTGGAGAACATTCCTCATCCTGAAAGCAGGGAATGTACAGCCTGTGCTCTACTTGCTGGTTATGCTGTCGTGGATGGTGGGAGAAACCCCATATGTCCAAGTTCAAGTCCTGGCAGGTCAAATGTTTCTAGTCAATGTTAAATGTATGAGATAAAATAAGCAAGACAGAATGCAGCTAGTAAGAAGGTGGTATTAGGGGAAGGAAGTATGGAATGAACATGGCTTTTGGTCTCTTTAGAAAGTAAAACAAGTTATATACCAGCATACAGGAAACTAGAAGTCATTTTCTGCTTTACTGAGATATGCAAGACAGTTAAAACATTTAAAACCTCTCTGAGCTAACAACACAAGGACTGCTGACAACATCAATACTAATACCTCTCACTTGCCTAGAAGGCTCATTACCCAAGTGTTTCATAGCCATTTCTTATCTTACTCTCCCTAGTGCCGTGAAAGAGGACCACTGAGTCTCAGAGTTGGAGGAGGAACTTCAAGATGATCTTGTGTCTCACCAACCATTCTGAAATCCCACCTTCCTGCAGCACAGGGCCAGTGAGGGGTGGCTCACTACCTCTGCCCTGGAACGAGCCGATAGGCCAGTGTCCACACTGAACACGAGACTCCTGGGGCTGAACCATTACCCTCCACACTCTCATTAGCTTCCCTGTTGTGGTCATACCCTACTACAGGCTGTCAGCTTAAGATCAACTCACAAGAGGCTGGACAGGCATCACTGTCCTCATTTCGAGTTGGACAAATAAAGTGCAGAGAGGTTAAATGATACAACAAAGGTCAAACCAACAGAAGATGCAGATCCAGGGCAAAACAAGGCTTTTCTGACCCTCAGTGTGGTGCACTGTGCTGTCTCACTTCTAACGTGAGAAGTTACTTGAGAGATTTTCTGACGGCTATTTTATTCCCAATTTGCTTAAGGATTTTCCAAAGAGCTCTTTATGAGCTTTTGATTCATATCTTCTAATTCTTTTCCGGATAACAGTCCCAGAACAATCTCTCCATCAACACACACAGACTATATTTTACCAGGAACAGAGCATAAGTGGGGAGGCAGAAACTTAATATGGCTCAAATCTTTCCGCTTCTCACCTGCTTCACTGCTACTGTCCTGGTTCTCATTTTTATATTCTCACCTGGATGATTAAGCAGGCTCTTCACTTGTCTCCCTGACTTCTGTCTTGTCCCACCATCACTCACCTGCTCCATCCTGGCATCTATCCTACATGCTGTCTTCACCGTGAATTTTTGAAAATATGAAGCTTATCACGTCTTTCTGGTTAATGTCTCCTCCTTGACCCCTAACTACTCTTACAATAAAGTCTAAACTCCTTCGCTCGCAGAGTTCTTCCTGATCTTCTCTCGCCACATCTCCCCTTGCAACCTACACTCCAGCCACACCTGCAGTTCACCTCTCCTGGTCCCCCTCCCATTCATCTGGTCTTGCCTTAGCTTAGAAACCGCTTCCTGCAGGAGGCTTTCCCAGACCCTTCCCCCAGTCTCTGAACTAGACACCTCCTGCTGGTGTTTCTACTGCACCCCTGTTCTTTTCCCATTACGGCACTGCTCCTCTCCGTAACAGGTGCTTGAGGGCTCTACGTTCAGCTGCTGCTGCACTGGTCAGCTCTGAGGAAGCTCAGAACCACTGCGGACAACATCTCACCAAAACCACACACCTGGAGGCTTTCCATTTCTGGCCGCAGGGTGTCCTTTGACCCCGCCTACATGCCAGAAGCACTGTGGTGGAGTGGTTGTGGCGGACAGGAGCTGGTGGCTAAATGGCCCAACCTCTTGTCCTCACATAGGCAGTCCTGGGAGGTACACTGAATGCTTCTCAGAAGTCCTGATGGCTCGTGGCCTTGGAAATGCGGGCACTCTTGTATTGGCTTTTCTGCCTTCCCTGCCTCACTTTTCCCACCCCCTCAACTCTTGCTTCTTGGGACACCTCCCCAACTAAACCACCTGCACTCAAAGCCTTACCTAAGGTTCTGCTTTGAGGGGAATCTAGCAAAGATGTTGAGGAGAAACATGACTTTCCCTTTGCAGGCTCTATATCGTGTGGATACTTAAGTTCTGGGTCTCCAAATCTCTCTCTAGCACATGGATATAGTTCTGTAAACAGTGGACACTCGATAAACTCAACAATGTCACCTGGATCACAGAACCAATTAGTGGGAGAGAATCAGATTTTTGTAGAATAAAGGTGTTCAGAACACTTCTAAATTGGGGAATTCTAAGGGGAGGAATTTCCACTTATATTTGCCAATCAGCTCTCAGCAACTCAGGGTTCCCCATTTTATCTGGGCAGCACCACGGCTCTGTACACCATCTCTCCCCGACAGCCTACAGCTCTGACAGTATTACCAGAATATACCATCTTTTCAACAAGTCACTTCGAGAAGTCTATGGGAAAATGATTTTTGCCGCATAGCAGTGAAAAAGGTTCTAGAAAAGGAAAAGTTGTAATCCCCCTTTAAATGAATATCAGCAAAATTTCACCTGTGCTATTAGGCTTTAGGAGAAAGCTTCTACGTCTGCTTGCATTGGATCATTAACACGGTGTATGATTTCCTAATTTGAGGGCCTCAAAAGCAAAATTACCCCTCTTGTATTTGAGGCTAAATCAAAGTGAACGACACATTTATAGTAGCAGCCAAAACATGCGGAGGTTCATCATCACGGAGAGACCAGCACTTGGTTCCTGGAACCTGGAATGTGGGGTCTCACACTCGCTCTCCACCTTGAAATGGGGCTTTAGTGGCATAATCCTGGCATCATTCCATTGCAATTGTCAGGAAGGCAGATTTACCCTGACCTTGGACCCATCTCTGCTGTTAAAGTTCATCCACCAGGCTTTCGGGAAAGCTGAGGCAGGCAGGAAAGAGCCAGATTCTGGGCAGTGGCTGCTGGCTGTCTCTATTCTGCCGTGAAGGAAACTGCAGAGAGCGCCTCGGCCTACGGCTCCCCCTCTCAGAACTGCAGCTAGGCCAGGAGGGAGCAACTTCAGCACTGGCATCCCACAGGCATTTAGCAGGTGTGTACACTGGAAAACAGGGGAAAGGGGAAGGTCCGAATTCCCTTGGAGACCTCTCTGCTGTCAGCAGGAACCAGTGCAGTTTCAGGCATCAGAGCAACAGCAACACTGACTTCTCTTTGTTCTGGATCCTAAGCCATAATGGCAAGGGACTACCAGAAAGTCGGCTTTGACAGCCCAACCCCTCCCCCAGCTGCAGATTTTCCAGTCTTGGTTCTAAAGTGGGATGGGATGAGCTGTGTCACAAAAACCACATTCAAGAGAACCTTCACCCACCTGTTAGAGGTCAAAGTCCACAGGAAGGCACCCTGCACTTGCTCCCTCACAGACTGCATCCAGAAGGTTATACTCAGACATATCCAGACTACTGCTGCCGAGGTGTTTTCAATGTAACAGTGACATTTCAACCGCCTCCTCCTACTCTACTGATCTTACGACCGTAAGTTCGATGTGAGGACTAATCCTGTCTGAGGAGCACGGCCTTCACTCTAAGCAGCTGGCTTCCGTGCCATCAGAGAGTATGGCTGAGTGCACAACACACTTGTGAAAGAGCCTCTTACTAAGTCTTTTTTCTTGTGCTTTCTGTCCTGTTCTCCATCAATCAGCAATTATCCCAATTCCCTTCCCACTGTACCAAGCCCGATGACGTGTCCCAACACCAGACACCAACCAAGACCTCACAAAAAAATATTCAGAATCTCGGAAGAGTAAAAGGGACAAAAAGGGCAAAATGACCATTGTCTTTTTCCTTGCTGAATTCAAAGTTTACAATGATAATTTGCTAGAAATTATGCTGCCTTTTAGCCCCCAGAATGGAAGTTTAACAAAATTCACTGCAACTAAATGATAAACTCCATCCTGTTGAGTCTATTATAAAGATATTAAAGTAACATGTTTTCTTTGCTCCAGTCCCATGAGCATGGACACAGAGTCACTCAAATGATTTGTTTCATAGCAAAAGCACTGCTTTATCTGGCCATGCTCAGTGATGCTCTGGATCCTGCTGTTTATTTATGAGAGGTACTGGAAAGGAGCTGGGAAAATAACTTCTTAAACAGAAACAGAAAGGATGAGAGGACACAACAACTGGTTGTGAAGAAAAGGTGGGAACATCTTTCCCATAATCTTTAAAATCAGCCTCAGGCACCCAGCTGTCTCACAGAATAGAATTTGAGGTTTGGGAATAAATTTAGAGTCATTTGTTCATTGGACTCATCCAACAAAGATTAATCAGAAATTACTGTACACCAGACAATGTGCTTGGAACTGGGGATACAAAAATATATAAAGCATAATCTTTGGCTTCCAGGAGAAAATCTAGTAGAGGAGATCATCATCGAAAAAAACTGTGACCAAATACTATCAGGACACAAAACAGGGAGCGGCTGAGAGGCTGTTTAATGCAACCTCTTTATTTCAGAGATGAGTTAACTAAAGTCTAAGAAGGTTAAGAAATCTGCCCAAGTTCACCGTGGGAGACTTGGGTCTAGTACTCAGTGCTTTTGACACCTGGCCTGTCTTCTCCACCTTGCTGATACCAGAGCTGAGGACAGATAACCTTTGGAGATCCCTTCCACACACCAATTTCACTGCTGATTTTGGGGTTGGGGAGGATATTCTTATTTTCCCTGTTGTCCTGGAGCTAACTGTACACAGGGTCCATGTCTTACTCATTCTTGGCTCACCCAGCGTAGTACAAAGCCTTGCCATGGTACGTGACCACTACATGTTTAATATGATTCGATAATGGACTTATCCAAGTGAATCTTCTCTTATAACAGAAGGATTTAACACTGCACTTGGACCAACAGGAAAGAAAAGGAAACGCCAAAATTGGACAAGCAAGGATAGGGTCAACACATGTGCACGGAAGCACTACTGACCTTTACTTAGAACTTCAACATACAGAGCCCAGCTCAAGCCTACGCCTTCTCTCTCACAACCTGTTTAACCACTAACATGCAAATTATTTGGAACAAAGATTCTTTGGCAAAGATATGCAGTTTCCTTAGTATTTGTCATCTGTTTACAAGGCAGGAGTGGACGTACTTGTAGCTTACCCATGGACTATTTTCCAGAGCCATACAAGGGTCTGGAACTGGCATGGTACTTCCTGAGAAATGGGAAGAAAGTTTATGATGAAATTCTTCAGTGAGAGCTGTCTGACTGAAACCACTATTCTCTTTCAGATCTTCTTTGGATTAAGCTGAAATCCCGAAGAATGAAATGTAAAGCCCTAGTCTCTGGGCCAATTTCACTCCCCACCTGTGTAAGTCTCTAAATAATCTCCGCAAAGCCCAAGACAAGATGACTCAAGGAAATGGACTGGAAGCCAGTGGTAAATTAGGAAAAGAGTTTAAATCCCATTCACTTCCCAACATTGTATTGACAGTATTCTATGGGACATCGGGACTCAGGAAAGTGGAAAACCAGAAATATTGACATTGATACACTGCCAGCCAAAAAAAAGGCATCTATCAGCAAAAGGTGAAATAAAAGCTGGCAAACAGCAGCAGCTTCCGTTTTTGTACAAATAGAAAACGATCTGCTACTCAGTTATTGATCTCATGCCAATCCAAGAGTAAAGGGAGGGACTTCCCTAGTGGCGCAGTGGTTAAGAATCCGCCTGCCAATGCAGGGGACACAGGTTCACGCCCTGGTCTGCGAAGATCCCACATGCCACGCGGCAACTAAGCCCGTGCGCCACAAATACTGAGCCTGCGCTCTAGAGCCCGCGAGCCACAACTACTGAGCCTGCGTGCCACAACTACTGAAGCCCGTGTGCCTAGAGCCCGTGCTCCACAACAAGAGAAACCACCACAATGAGAAGCCCGCGTACCACAATGAAGAGTAGCCCCCACTCGCCGCAACTAGAGAAAGCGCACGTGCAGCAACGAAGACCCAACGCAGCCAAATGTAAATAAATAAGTAAATAAATTTTAAAAAAAAAGAGTGAAGGAAACGTAAGTTTGTCTGATTTGATTTCCACTGCTCTGCATCTTTATAGCATGTCTATGAAACATACCTGATGATTCTGGTTGCAAAAGCCCTGAATTCTAAGCTTCTAAAACACTATATTATAGAAGAAGCCCCTTTCAACTCTTCCTTCCCTACCTGTTAAGCACAGAGGTCTATTTTGCCTGCTCTGGCCTTTGAGCTGCTGCTGGGAGGACTATTCTAGCTGACTTGGTTCTGTTTAAATGGACAGCTCTTCCTATAGAAGACATTCATTTACAGTCAGTTCTCCCCAGAGCAGTAGGGATCCTCTAACTGCACAGTTTCTGGTCTCTCTTGCGATAAAGGTCATTTATTTTTGAGACAAGTAACTTGGGGTTAGGGACTCTCAAGTGACTGAAATGGACTTTTTCTCTGGGACAAACTAACTGATCTGTTGGGCAGTAGTTTATTTGCATCATATGCCAAGAGAAAGTTAATGCCCCTCTTTGTGAAGAACAGTCGTCCACTGGTCTATTGTTCTGCTGAAACCAGCTCAGTGGGCTTGCGCCCCTTGCCACAGAAGGCAATTGTTTGTTTTTATTGTTGTTTGTCTTTATTAATCTGCCTAGTTCAGACCTTTCAGAGAGGGTCAAATTTAGACAAGCATTAGGAAAGAATGGGTCCTTTCCCACACCATTCCTTGGTGCACGTGAGGCCTCTGCAATGCTTGGTTCACACACTTAATGCAGAGAAAAATGCTGTATGAAGATGCAAAAGGGCTTGCGTTGCCAGGTGGGTGGGTGAGCTTTAGGGTATGCGAGCATCCAGTGCACTCCTGCTTCTGCGGTATGGAATGTGATGGCACAAGAACAGCAGTGTGGTCTACTGAGAAATTTCCCTCAACTTTCCTGTTTGAAAAATGTCAAACTGACAGAAAAGTTGAAAGCAGAGAACGACTATTACCTAAACACTCTTCACTTAGATTAACCAATTATTAACATTTTGCCACATCTGCTTATCTTCTTTTGCGGGGGTGATTCATGCTCCTTCACCTCTAAATACTTTGTGTGTGTCTCCTAAGGACATTCTTCTACATAAACAACACCTTATACCCAAGAAATCTCACATTGATAGAATGGTGTCATCTAACTTAAAGTTCATATTCACATTTCCCTCAATGCCTCCCCAACGGCCTTCACATTTGTTCCCCATTGCCTCTAATCAGGCACCACATCTGGGGTTCCCTTAGCCTCCTTTAATCTAGCATAGTCTTCTGCCTTTTGTTTTGTTTGTTTTTTGGTCTTTGATAGTCTTTTGAGTCTAGGTTGGTTGTTTTACAGAATATTGCTCGTTTAGGATTTGTCTCTTTCCTATACCAAATATGCCATGTACGTGAGGTAGGGTACTTCTTACTGCACCGTCACATAGTAATGGACACATAGTGTCAGGTCAGCCCAGGACTCATGATGCTAAGTGTGGCCCCTTGGGTAATGTGGTGACTGCAAGAGCTCTCATTTGTAAACGTACATTCTCTTCTCTGTGATTAATTTGTAATTAATGTGTAATATGTAGAATAATACCTTCAGGAAGTTCTGACTGCTTATTTCATGCCTCACCTATAATGCCTTGGCCATGTCTAAGGACAGACTGGGGTGAATGAATAGTGAAGGACCCTATTTGAAGGATAAATATGCAGAAAATCCCAAAGGGATCATAAAGCTCTGGCTGTAAGAAAGTCTCTAAAAAGGGAGAAAGCAGTAACTGGAGAAAGGCCAATGGTTATGAGATCATCAGCAGAGCCCTAGACTAGATCTGCCAATGGTGAGCAAAGAGGTCTCTGGCCAACACGGAAGCATTCACCTCGATACCTGGATACTCTTCTCAAGGGCTGGAGGCCTGGTATGCGTAGGGTTAAGTGACATGAAGTCAGTGGCAAAGCAAAACCCTCTGGCCTACCCACCAGACCTGTAGGAAATACTACTGAATTTCCCTTCTCCTTTGTCCCACTCCCCTGTGGTTGTATCTCATTCCCTGGGGAAGAGATAATGCCACATCCCTTCCTGCCTCTGCTCCAGCAACTTCCTTCCTCACACCATTCCCATGATGGGGGCTCAGGGCAAAGCAGGGAAGGGCCTCCACCATTTCACAGCAGTTGGGGAGTGAAGGAGGCCTGGGGGCTCTCCAAGGAGGAAATGTCTAGTTTATTGGGAATGAGGGTTATGCCTGGGGAGGGGAGGGACACTTTCCCCTTGAGGTGCAAACTGCTGTTGCTTTAATTTGTATGATCAGGCAGAGTTGGGGAGAATAATGTATTGACCAACACAAACAGGCCATTTACATTTCTGAGACCGAATTTTAAAGGAATTATTAAATACAGCTTCTAACAAAGCCCATAATGACATTTTTCTTTATGCAGAACCCTGGGAGCTCAACTGAGGAAGGCACAGCTTGTTTTTCCTGATACTGCTTCCATATAGGCTCCAACCAATCACAGCCATAGAGGCAAAGGAGAGATGAGGCAGAATCAGGATCTGGCAGCTAACACGTCAAGGCCCTTCCGAAGGAGAGCTCTGTTGGTTTCGTCCTGTGACTGCACCAGGCCAGGGCGGCTCTGCGGACGACCTGCCTGGTCTGAGGGCAGGAGCCACACTCACCCTGATCGATCCCATCAGGAAAAGAGCACATCTGTCAGAGACACCAGCCAACATGAGAAGCAAAGCCCAGAAGATACATGTGCTCCGACTGGCTTGTTTTGGCTAATTGCTGATTCAGGAGTTGGCATGTTTTCTCAAACCTCATTCTGTTGTTTGACTCCCGGCTTGCTTTTTCTCAGGCAGGTCTCCATCTCCTCATGAAAATGTCTGAGGATGTCAACATAAAATACATTTTTAAATTCTTGGCCACCTCCCAGGCTGAGATCAGTTCGAAGTTTCAGGATGTGGGGGGTGTCCTCAGTCAGACCAGACGAGTCATGCCTGCGCTCCTTTCTAGAAATGGGTAGGCACATTAGCCACAAGGCTTTGAACACACAGGAGTTAGCTAGCACACATTTTGCAAAATTACTCCCCTCCATGCCTCAACTTCTTACCACTACTAAATAAGCATGCAGTGATTCCCGACACCTCACAGTTCTGCCGTGCATGCATGCATGCGTGTGTGTGTGTGTGTGTGTGCATGTGCACTTTATGGTCCTTTCATTAGATGGGGCTGAATAGTAAGAAAGGTAATTTCCAGCACTTGACACTCCTGCTGGGGCCCTGACTCCGAATCCCTCTCAGGGCGGCATCTGCACTGTCAGTCGCTCGCCCGCTTGCCAGGGCATCTTCTCTGGCTTCCCAGAAGCCGCTATCCTGGTAACTCAGTGGGCAACTCAACGAGGCCCAGACCCCAACCTGCCCCACTCCAGGGCAGCTCCCATCTATCCTGAAAAAGCCAGGACACACCATTATCCACAGTTTTCCCATTGTCACAGGACCCCTTTACAATCTAGGATTTAAAGAGTCCTTGGGAAGCAATTACCTGCACAAGCATGATCAAAAGAAGGGGGCTGTTTCAAGCCTGAGCCCTAGGTGTCACTTTGCTAAAGCAATGCAATGGATTTCAACAAAGAAAAATATCTGTTCCCACAGAGTCTGGTACAGAAAGCAGAAAACTTTCTTTTTACTGCACTCAGGAAATGGTTTTCATAGATGTTAACCGCAGCTGGGTAATCTGTATAACCACAACATAGTTTCTCTTTAATAAGTGGAAGATTTTTACCCACTGCATCACTGACTACCAAAAAGAATTCCCACCCTCCATCTCTAAGGCAAGAAAAAAATGATAAGGATAAGTAGAGTCCCTTTCCTTAATCTGCCAGCTAGGGGTTGCTAAAGTAGCTTTTTCATTCAGAAATGTAGATTGTTCTACGAGGTTCCTGTCATCCAACCCTACTGCTGAGTGGTGGAGGAACCTTGAACAAATCCAGCTTCTTTGCACGCTGGGATCCCCTCAGAGCCTTTATGACCATGATCCACAATGGGTCACAACGTAAATGTATGACAATGGGTCACAATCAATAAGTCTGAAAAAGGAGCTTTCGTGACTACTGGCTGGCAGATGAAGGTGTGGTGAAAGAAAGTTGGCCAATGCTGCCACGCACAGATGGTTCAAGAAAATGAAAACAAATCAAAGCAAATTCCACCAACTAAAGATGTGAAGAGTAGACTGTTCAGTTCTCTGATTCATCCTTGTATATTAACCATTTGTCCTGGGAAACTTGGCATCACTCTCTCCCTGCTGTGAGAGCAAGGCCTCTGACCTGTGGCTCCTTGCCCAGAAGCCAGGAGCAGCCTGGGAGAGTCTGTGGCCCTCTCCTTGGGGGCAAGTGGCTTCACGATGCTGCTCCCATCACTGTGAGGCCCAGCTGGTAATTCAGCAAAGACTGAGTGAGCATGTTCACCATTCTCACTGCCCAGACGAAGGAAGGAGGTTCGGAGCTAGGGGTGTCGACACTGATGGTCTCATGTGAATGATACAACTATAACTAAAAGGGCACCCACGCAAAAACACACAAAACGAAAATTTACCTAGTTGTAAGGAGGAAGAGCTTTTCTCTAAGAGTGAAGATAATAGAGACGATAACCCAAATATATAAGCTACTGAAATGATTTGTATTCTAAAAGAATGCTGGAAAATCTGATGACACATCGTTTTTTATTCTCAGTTAATACTTTTAAAAACAGCTTTACTGAGATATAGTTCATATACTATTCACTCATTTAAAGCATGCAAGTCAATGGTTTTTAGTATATTCAGTTGTACAGCCATTACCACAATCTAATTTTGGAACATTTTTATCACCCTCTCAAAAAAAAACCCCTCATACCCATTAGCAGTCACCACCATTCCTCTAGCTCCAAGCAACCACTAATCTATTTTCTGTCTCTACAGATCTGCCTATTCTAATATTAATAGTTTTATTTACTATCATTTTTATTTTTTTGGCCACTCGGCGTGGCATGCACGATCTTAGTTCCCAGACCAGGGATCGAACGTGTGACCCCTTCAGTGGAAGCACAGAGTCTTAACCACTGGACTGCCAGGGAAGTCCCAGACAGCTAAGATTTTTAAATCTTAAGTTTAAGATTATACAGTTGGTATCTGTTGTAGCTTCCTATGAGAAATACATTTAAACTTTCAACTTGTCCCCTATGTTGATAGTCATATGAAAGTTTCCTAAGGGTGAGGAAAATCAGAAATCTAGACTTCAGACAGGAATACTGGAATATCTGAGCACTGCTTATATAGCTAAGTCCCGCATATCAACAGTACTACTTTGGAACTGTGTTTTTAAAGCAGTGAGACATAGTGGCTTAACATTCAGTGCAGAAACCTGCCCCTGCCACTTAAGGTTTTTTTCCTTTTAAAACCCTGGGTGAGTAAATTCATCTGAGCCTCAAGTAACCAATTAATAAAATGAGGATAATAATAACTACCTTGAAGCATGATGATTAAATGAGATATTCATCAACTCAGCCTTTATTCATTGAGTGCCTTCAGTGTGCCAGACTCTGTTGGCCACTGAAGATAGAAACACAAATTTCTTATCCTCATTTAATTCACTTGCTTGAGACAGATATGCAAACAAGAATTAGATTATGAGAAAAGCGCTACACAGCAAGTGCAGTAGGAGCCTAAGAGTGTGAATTGCGGAAGGCTGTAGAAAGGGAGGGGGAGGTGTCTGAAACGTGAAGGATGAGAAAGAATTTGCCAAGGGGACAACGTGGGATAGGAAGTCCAGAAAGAGATAATTACATGCTCAACGTATGTGAGCGCACTGAGCAGCATAATACCTGGCACACAGCAGAAAGTCAACACTTCCTGTTGTTCCTGCTCTTACCCTCTCATGTCCTTGAAAAGATGCTTCTCTAGAATACAGAAAGAAATTAAAATCTTGCTGCTGCTACAGAAAAATGATTGATCTGAGACTTTAGGAGTTGCTTGTTCTATCTTTTCCTGAGGCTAATTCACCTCTGGCAGCAAAGTATATTTGAAATTTTGACATTTTCCCCCCACAAACTTCCAATTTTGAAAAGTTTCAAACCAAGAAAAGTTGATCTCCCTTGTCTAGAACACTCCCCTTGCCTACAGAATGGCCCACTATTTGGACTTGTCTGATTGTTAATGTTGGCTTCTTTGAGGGTATCTGGGAGTCTTCTGGCACTCGATCCCTGGACTGCTTTTCTCCATGTACACTCACTGCCTGAGTGATTTCACCCAGTCCCAAAGCTTAAATACCATTTATTTGCCTCTGACCTCCAAATGTCCTATTTTCAGCCCAGACCTCTCTCCCTAACTCCAGAATTTCACTCAACTGCCCAGTGGGCCTCTCCACTTGGATGCCCAGTAGACCTCGCCTGCAGCCGCTTTCCACACCTTAGTAGAGGGCAACAGCACCCGCCAGGTACTTACCTCTCCGATCTCCTCTCATAACTAACCGCCCGACTCATTCCGCTTCAGGCGTGCAACACCTTTGCAAGCCATTCCTTCCACCTGAAATACTCTCTTCCCACATAACATCTTGTTAACTTCCTTACCTCCCTCAAGTCTGTGCTCAAATCTCAAACTTCTCACTGACACTTAACGCTTACTAACCTATTCAATACTCTAAACTTAACTCTCACCCCACAGTCCTGATTTCCCTACCCTCCTCGGATTTCCTTTTCTTCGTAACATTCAGCATTTTCTAACACACCACATAATTTATTTATTACGTTTAACGTCTATCTCCCTGCTGGAATGGAAACTCCACAAAGGCTTGAGCCAACGTCTGTTTTGATCACTGATATAACTCAAACACCCGGCACAGTGCCTGGCACTTGTTAGGTACTCAGTAAACATTTGTTAAAAGAATGTATGAATATTGGGAAAACGTATCAACTTCGTATATTATAAATAGATTCCAATAATGATATCTACTAAAATAACAACTCTCGATGTTGGCTCATCTCATAGCTGCTGTCCATCCTTCACTGGGTTTTCTTCTACAGGAGACGTAAGTACTTCAGAGCAGGGACAGGAAAAGCATTTGTTCATTGCAACAGATGGCAGACCCCTCCTTGAACGGCTGTCAGGAGCCTGGAATTTGTCTTAGGCTGGCCCTGGCACCACTGGATGAGAGCCTGCAGAATGCTCAACATCCTTGCCGTAAACTGTAATCTGGGGTACACAGGCTAAGCAAGTCCTAATTGAAATGCAAATAAGGGACAGAATTAAGGGGAATGCTGGATGAATCTTTGCTTTTTTTTGGTCTATGACAATAGAATTTGCAAGAAAAAAAAAAAATGGGGCTTCCCTGGTGGTGAAGTGGTTAAGAATCCGCCTGCCAAGGCAGGGGGCACAGGTTCAAGCCTGGTCCGGGAAGATCCCACGTGCCGCGGAGCAACTAAGTCCGTGCGCCACAACTACTGAGCCTGCTATCTAGAGCCCTCAAGCCACAACTACTGAAGCCCACACACCTAGAGCCCATGCTCCACAACAAGAGAAGCCAACGCAATGAGAAGTCCACGCACCGCAACGAAGAACAGCCCCCTGCTCGCAGCAACTAGAGAAACCCTGCACGCAGCAACGAAGACCCAACGCAGCCAAAAATAAATAAATAAAACAAATAAAAATTTTAAAAAGTGATATTTGCATTCATATTTTGTGATAATGAAGCCCTGGAACAACCAGGTCAAGAGACCTAAGGATGGACTTAGCTGAGGGTGGCAAATGAGTCTTTTTCTCTTGTCACTGGCTACCTCACAGCCAGGTTACTTTCATCTGTTTGCTCTTGGGGGCTAGTTTTAAAGTCATATACTCTACTACGTTATGAGCCAGA